ACTCAACTTTTTGGTTTTTCTTCCTCAGCTATCTAATCCTCAACTAATAAATCAATGGGCTACCCTAAGAATTCTGCAGTGGGCACGCTGCCCTAGGTTTTTCTTCCTCAATAAGGAGCTAAATCAGTTGCTATGGTAGTGATTAGTAATTGCAATGGTAGTTATCAGATACTGTAACGGTAGTGTTTCGTTTCTGGTAATATGACCTACTGCAATGGTAGTTATTCATTGTTTCTTGCTCTTTGAAGCCCCACGATTTGGGTTCTTGGTTCTTGCCATTACTAAAACCAAAAAATGGAAGGTAGCAACATTAACCAATGTTAGTGATGTATGGAAAGGTAATCACTACTACTACTGGAACTGAACACTACCATTCCACACCAAACATCACAGGTATGCAGGTCACTACCAATGAGAGAAAAAAAACCTACCATTCCAACTAAAAACTATCATTCCACACCAAACATCACAATTCTGCAGATCACTACCAATTCATGAAAAGAAGCTACCATTCCAAACAACATGAAATCTACCATTCCAACTAAAAACTTCAATTCCACACCAAACATTACAGGTCTGCAGATTACTACCAATGCATGGGAAGAACCTACCATTCCAAACAACCTAGAACCTAGATCATCCCCGACTTCGACGAGAACGTCCGTAGGGATATCCTGAGAGAAGATCCATTGGCCAGTTCTCTCCATTGCAAGGGAAGTCCTGGTGGGGAATCCATTGTTGCTGCTCCTCAGTTGGGGTTGGGGATCCATTGGCCGGGAGAGAAGAATTGGGTCCAAAGCGGGAAGTACATACTACGGAAGGATTGGCAGCCGGATTTGATGGCGTCGGAGAGTCGGGAAGCGAGGGAAGGCGGGGAGTGCGAGACGTCGAGGCGAGGCGGAGGGAGCCGCTGTGAGGTGGGACGGGATCGGGGGTTATGACGTGGAAGTGGTCGGAGGTGTGGGTGGAGGAGAAGAAGGAAGAGAGGATGGCCTCGGAGTCGGCCGGGAAGGCAGAGCCGACGTGGCGGAGGTTGATCGAGAGTGGGAGCGACAGGGAGAGGAGGGAGGAGACGACGGCTAGGTATTAGGGTTTGAGTAAAATATATACAGTAATCATGTGTGGTATGTTTTTCATTTCCTAAATTACCCTTAGCTAATCTTAACCATTAATTTAAAATTATAATAAAATAAAGATAATGAATGGTATAGATGTTGGTAGCCACCGTAATTACTCAAAATTGAGTAACCACCCTAACCTATTCCGTTTCTCAGCCATACTTTTGGAGTTAGTTAGTTAAGTTGAGAACTTCAGCTGGAGCCAGACGAGAGAATTTCAGTTACCAAACTACAATGCTTTGCTTCAGCAGGGCAGTCCGTTGCATCATTACTAGCTAGACAGGATACATATAGCAAGGAACTGATGAATTACTGATCAGGTTTGTGTAAACCGTACATTGTTTGGCAGCCGCTAGCTTTACGAATTCTGCACTTTATTCGATCGGCTGCTGTCAGGTTTCATTTATTTATTTTTTGTGTTGATTACTACTTCATTCCGTGACTCTCTATATTCATGCGCAAGCAATCCACAATGAATGATAAAGCGTCACAATATTGCAGTTCTGGAAACAGTTCGAATAAAAATGCTAATAGGAACGGCATACACCATTTTACTACAACAAAACGAAGATTAGGCGGCGCTTACATTTATTGCATAAAATCTAACAAAAAGAGAAAGCTAAGAGATAATGCATACATTTTGATGCATTCTCACATGCCACCACCTATCAGTGGCAGTCAAGCACCACCAATTGCTTGATGAACATTGAAACGTACTAAAATGTATTGTTACTAAACCAACCTGCTAGCTTCAGTAAATCTGAGAAAGTAAAGAACAGAAATCCACCTTGTTTCCTTAAGCAGATATAACGGCAATCGGACTCCTCACAACATAACCTTTGGTGAGCCAGTACAAGAACCCCTGGGAGTAAGTCTCAGCAGAGAATCCCTTGCTGGTAAACGTCACGGTAAATGTGGCCTTCTGCTTCAAACGATTGAACACAATCTTCTCAGGATGCACCTTGACATTAACTCCTCTTGGCAGCACAACTTTAGCTACGTACACCGAATTGGCCCGACCGACATTCGTCACAGTTCTCGAGTACGTCAGGGGAGTAGAACCCAGCCTGATGGAGAAGGAAGGATAGTTGAGCTGCGCTTCAGGAATGGTCACATTCCCACAGTGCGCCTTGCGCTGTATGAGCCCCGAGATCTCGCTGTCCTTGTACCCCAACCCGCACAGATAAGGAATGTAGTCGTTGGGCTGGAGGTCGTACACAAGTCCAGGGTCTGCAGCCAGGACCGGATTGACGTGCCCTGCACCCATATCAAACAAGTTAGCAGGCTGAAGCTGTTCATTTAGGATAGGTTTCGTCCTTCCGAGATTCGACAGGTATGTGGTAGTCATCATGGCTGATTTGATCGCGGCAGGGGACCAATCAGGGTGAGTATTTTTTAGCAGAGCAGCAATGCCGCTGAGGTGAGGACAAGACATTGAAGTTCCTGATATCATGTTGAACGGCGGGTTGGTTATGTTGTCTACCGAAACGGGCCAAGCTGCCAAGATATTCACTCCAGGGCCAATGATGTCAGGTTTCAGGATTCCGGGGCTCGCCAGACTGGGACCCCTGGATGAGAACGAGGCGACCTGAGGAGCATTCGGGTTACCGAATATAGTCCCGCTGAACAGGATTGTGGCCTTCGGCGACTTGGTGGAGTTCAGATATGCCTTAATCGCCTCGCCTGCAACGAATCCGACATGGGATGCAGGGAGGACATGAGCATCAGCCAGAGTGTCGAAACCGCTCGGTTGATCATTCATCAGGATCATGGCAGCGCCGCCATTGTCCTTCACTTCCTGTCCCTTGGAAATTCTAAGAACTTCCCCTCCTCTTTCGCACAAGACAATTTTGCCCTTGACCGACTTGTTCAGCGAGCCAGGGGCGCAGAATCTGGAAGCTGCTCTGCCATTCGCCCCTGCATACACAAGGGGCAACATTCGGTGACGGAATTTCTTGTCCTGAAACAGCGATTGGCCGTCGTAACCCGCTTTATTTCCAAGCAGAACTGTGGCCTTGATCTTCCTGTCAATGGTGCTAGCTCCAACGGTCAGAATCCATGGCGCCTCGTTGGCCGACGAGGCGCTTGCAGGACCAGCATTTCCAGCAGAGCAGCTGACGAAAACCCCCTTCTGGATCGCTCCGAAAGCACCAACCGCGATCGGATCCTCGGGGAAACGCGACGAACCTCCGCCCAGGGACAGCGAGAGCACGTCGACGCCATCCGCGACAGCAGCGTCGATTCCTGCTAGTATAGAACCTCCAGGGCAACCCTCTGCTGAGCAGACTTTGTACATAGCAATGTGAGCCAGCGGCGCGATCCCATAGGCCATGCCGCTAGCTTGCCCAAAGGCACTAGCCTGCACGGGGCTTCCAGCAGCTGTACTGGAAGTGTGAGTGCCGTGGCCTTCATCATCGGTCGCGTACGTGTCCCCGACGAGATTCCTAGCCCCGATGAGCTTCTTGTTGCACTTCGGTAGCTGGCATTTGCCTCTCCATTTGGCAGGGGGAGAGGGCATGTGCAGGTCGTTGAACGAAGGATGGTTCGGTGTCACACCGGTGTCTAGTACTCCAATGATCACGCCTTTCCCGTTGTTGGAACTGTTCCACAGACCGTTGTTGAGCTGCAATCCCAAGAATGCAGGGGTTCGAGTCGTGTGCAGACTGTACATCTTTTCCCGCTGAGCAGAGATGAACCCATCCTTCTTCTCCATGGCCTTTACTTCCTCCTTGGTCAGCTTCGCAGCGAATCCTGTCACGACACTGCGGTAGGAGTGGACCAATCGGGTCTGCGATGATGAGCTGGCCAGAGTAGTATCAGGAAGGAATGTGCTGTACCATGACTCCAAATCTCCATCTGCAAGTGTGGAGAGGCCTTCAGGTTTCTGCAAGAACACAATGTAAGTGTCCAATTCGGCTTCTCCGTAGACGAAGGAAGCTGGGACTGAAGCAAGGCTGATCAGAAGTGCTGCAAGACCTGCCAATATCATCTTGTTCTCCATTTTTCGAATGAATGGAGAAAGTAGGGAGCACAGAACAGTTTGGTTTTGTTCTGTGGGTTTGTGTTGTGCTGCATTGGCAACTCCTGAAACGTGCTTTATATAGTCTGCGAAGAGATTCGTCGGGATTTGGGAGAGACAATTGACGCGTATTGAACACTTTGAAGAGATCGCCAATTTGTCTTAGAACGTTGAGTTTACGAAGATCTATTACGGGCCATAACGTTGTTGCTATGTAGATCCAATGGGAAAGGTGAATGGAGTGACCGTTGATCGGCCGGCGGTTGAACTTATGCTGCTTGATGGGTTGCTGTCAGTGTTTTCATTGTGAGACTTTGATGGAACTAAGGGGAGATAACTAATGGAAAACCCACAAGGTAGGAGAAGTGATCAGAGAAACCAGGGATGTTGCAGCATTGGCTGTGGAGGGAGTGAGTAAAAAGTAAAAAAAAAAACGTTAATTACAGTGTGATTATAGGTAGTTATTAACTAGTAATCATGTTTCATGATGAAGAACTGTTGACTGTATAAACAATAATCTACTGGCTGCCCAAAGCTTTAAGCTTCGCCATTGTTATAGAAGTCACTAATTCCAGTTATATATAGGAAAATTCAATAAAAACACCCCGAGTGTCGATCCACCACAGAGGTAATTGGCCAAATAATTAGCGGGTTTGTGATGAATAAATTTGATAGTACAAATACCAAATTTGGTACATATGAAAGCACTAGAACAGCTCAACTACTATTAAATCCAAAAAGGTTTAAGGCACAACAACAATTTGATCCGTAGCAAACCAAATCGAATCGTTTAAATTTGATTCATATCAAACCTCAGATCGATTAAAATTTGAACCAATCAATTCAAATACTATGCCGATCCAGTTCTAATCGTGATTATATTCGTTCTTGTTCTCATTGTTTCTGAGAACACAATGCTCCATTACACGTTTGGAGTTAAATAATGTTGGGTTTTCTCACTTCCATATATAGTTCCAGAAATTCAGTCATTGGTCTTTTATCATTATCGACACAATGTGTACGCAATCAGCCACTCATCCACCACGTGGAAAAGCTCATCCATCCAGACAAAAATCTCATATAGTTGATATCAAGGGTAGAGCGATACGAACAAACAGAAGAAACTAAAATGGTCTTTGCCGATCTCGGTTTTTCCAATTCTAGCTAGTATTAGACTGTTTAAGCTTTAAATATGTAAAGTTAATATGTTTATGATATTGACTGTTCATATCAAACTTAAAGCAACACCTAATCCTCGACTGCTTCATTCAAGGACTAATAACTCTTTGAGGTTGAGCAGCTCTGTAAATTTGCAGGAACACGCACGGCTAGTTTACGCCTGTGCTAGTGGATCTCGCATGAAAAGGTACTGCAAAAGGATACAGGGGTATTCAGATTTGCAGAAAGGCGCTCCCAGTATTTGTCAAAGAAAGAGAGGAAAGGGAATGCACCTCGAACGATTTCCCGGATCTTTCATATTCTAGCATGCTTAGGGCAACTTCACAGCTCTGTGAGACTATAGGCTCGGGGTCCTTTGAGAATTCCTCCAGAAGTTGGATGCTTTTATCATCTACACGACGATCCATTGGAGTCGTTAATACTATGAATTTGAACCGTAGAAGTAAGAACTCAACAAACAAGTTTTAGTAAAAGCACAATGAAGTACCAGCAATAGAACCAAGAGCTTCAGCAGCCTCGTGTCTGACCATTGGATGTTCGTGTTCATCCCTCAGTACAGAGCTAAGTGCGGCTGAAGTAGCTTTGTTCTGTAACTGGCCCAAAACATAAGCAACCTGGAGGAAGAAACCAGAACTGATTTGAACAAGGAGCTATTTAAGGTCTACCAAACTACATCAAACAGTTCATGCAGAGGAAAACTAACAAACCTCGTGCTTAAGCAGGGCACTCTTTGACTGCAATGAATCTATTATAGCAGAAATGGCTTCATCCCCACCATGGTTACGTAGTGCGAAAAGAGCGCCATATCGTTCATACATGGCTTTTTCTTCATCGAGAAGAACTTCCCTAGGAGAGGTTCATTATTATTTGTGGATGCAATTTTTGGATAAAATATGAAGTACATAGTTTGATAGGGTTTCATCTGAACCAGAAAAAGACAATACCTGAGCTCATTGACAGAAGAACAAGAGGAAGCTGGTGCAGCTGGATCAACTGACAAAAAGGGCGACTTCTCCATTACAGCTGATTGATCAGCACCATTTGTAGCATTCATCTCTTGAATTCTGTGGAGAGCTAGTTCACAAGTTTCTCTTACCTCCTGAGCTGGATCTAAGGCCAAACTTCTCTTTAGAAGTGGTATATTACTCTCCAAACCAATTGCACCAAGGGCTTCTGCAGCCTGTAAGAACAATGGAGAAAACATATACTCAGAAACCACCCAATAAATAATATTAGGAAGGACCAAAGATTGGGAAGGTTCAACACCTCATGGCGAACAATTGGGTGCAAAGAGAGATCATTTAGAACTGCTTCCAGAGCCGGGATAGCCTCAGAGTCTTGCATTTGGCCTAATGCAAATGCAGCCTCGTGTGCCAACAGATTTGAGGAGTCCCTTGTAGCTGAACATTCAAAAGAATAATCAATGCAACCTTAATCAGAATCAAAAGAAACATACACCAAGAGACACTGTACAAAAATAAATAAAAAATTGCAGCAGCAGGAATCAGATGTAGTCCAGATAACCAGATGCAACCCGCCAACTTTCAGGAGGATTTCAATACAAAGGATTAACAACAAACAAATCTTCAACAGTCGTGAATAAATTCCTATACATGGCTAAAAACTATTGCCACCCGTGATTAATTATGGCTGACAGTTACCTGTCTTATTAGCCTGAACCAGCATCTACCATTACCACACCTCTCAACAGAATTAGCAGCTATAGCTATTCAATATTGCTATTTTTTTAAGAAACAAAAGATGCAAGCTTGAAAGGTTGAAGTCCAACAATAAGGTAACTTTTGAACAATCAATCAACCAGAACACAAGAGGTTATGATTCAAACTGACAACAGCGCAAACAAATCTTGCTTCTTAATGTTATGAATACTAACATTCATCAGACTAGTTCTACTGAGTGACGGATGGAGGAGGAACAAAGGCCAACCTTGAATAAGAGCAGCCCGAGGTCCTGGACCTTTGAGGTTGCGAAGCGAAAAGAGGACCCTGAACCTTTCAGATATTGGCTGGGAGGGGTCAACTAAACGTTCGCAAAGAAACTGCTCCATGTTTGTCACTGAACCATCGGCAGAGTTATCAGCCAGAGGACCCATAAGTCACCAATGTGGAGACAAGTCGTCAGTAACCGCAAGACTGAATTAGCAGCTGATTGCTAGGCACCTAATCACATGGAAGCAATAACGGGTAAGACACTCAAAATCAACTCCCTAAGGAAAAAAACTGGAATCGCACATTTAGGAACAAAACGAAAAGCAGCCAAATTTTGAGGAATTACGATGAACACTGACCAAAATACAGAACTTTAGTGCCTTAGGAACTTGCAAATACCTTCTGATACGCCACCTGTTGAATCCAAGGAAAGGTAAATAAGGGAAAACTGAAGTTTGCAGCTCAATTTGACTCACTTGGAGCAAAAAATCTCAATGACCTGTTGATAACAAGATCGGCGACGATAAAATTAAGCTGATTGATTGCTGGACCGGCCGGTGAAAGTTTGAAGAGCTACCACGATGACCCCGTTGGTCAATCGGAAGCAATTACGGGTTTCTACTTTCTTGAAGGAAATTTTAGGGTTAGAGCAGCACAACTGCAGGGTGGGAATGGCGGCGGGACTCCGCGCTGACGGAGCAGCTGTAGCACCGGCTTCGGATAGGTAGCGTATTAAATGAAAAAGGTGAGCTGAGAGGAAGAAAGTGGCTCCGGAGGTCGGAAGAGAAGGGTGCTTTGGTCGGATGGAGAGGGGAGGTTTTGGTCGGAAGAGAAGGGTGCTTCGACCCGGACGACGGAGAATTGTAGTTAATGGTTTTCCACTGGCTTGTGAAATGTTAATATTTGCTCTATGGGAAGTTATAGAATATACAATTTGGTCCTTAATAAGTTTTTTTCAAGACGAATTAGGTCCTCAAAGTCTCACAAAGTGAACTCAGCTTTTAGAGGGTCCTCACAAAATTTGATTTTGAAAAAAAAAAATCTACACATTAAATAAAAGCAAAATGAGAAAACTTGAAGCCCCATTTCAAATTTCCTGCATTCAAAGTGAATCTACACAATAAATAAAAGTCAAATGAGAAAACTTGAAGCATCATTTCAAATTTCCTGCATCCATAGTGAAAGTAGGAAGGACATTTTGGTCTTCACAATTACTTTTTTTATTCATTAAAAAAATACTTACTAGAATTCGAACCATGACCACTTTAAAGAAAAGCAAAGATCATAACCAATCACACTAAGTATATTTGTTGTATCTTTTTAAATTAAAAACATATAATCGCAGAGAGGAAAAAACTCTTTCCCCATTTCAAATTCCCTGCTCCACGAGCGTTTGTAGGAAGGGTAGAATAGGGAGTGTCAATTTTTTTCTTTTTCCTCTATGGAACAGGCCAACTTACCGTATACATGCGGATTTAAACGGGTCCAGGAGTGTCAATTTTTTTATTTAAGTCCTTTTATGGAACCCGTGGTGGTAAAATATATATGAAAAGGCAAAAACAATACTCTTTTTTATTGCTAAAAATGAAAAAATTTAACAATAAACTAATGCATGGATTCTAATGTGCTAACCGCTAATCATAAAATAAAAGAGTTGAATGAGCCTGAACTACACGCGATTTGCCCATCAAGTAAAACAAATGGGCCTAAAACAAGCTATTGTCTCTAGCATAATATATGGGTGTGCCTACGGTGACATGCGTGTCACGGTGACTTGCACTTTCCGGTCGACCTCAGTTAGGATTAGGTCAACCTCATTTAGAATTCGGTCGACCTCATATGGGATCAGGTCGACCTAATCTATTGTTTCCGTGTAAAAACAGTTCATGGTGCCTACTTTGGATATTCATATCATACAATTGGCTAGATGGAAATTGAAGACTAATGACTTGTTTTGAAGCTGGAGTGTCCCTCTACATATTGAAGTGGAAGAGAGCTCAATAGGAAGTGCAGAAGACCATTTTTGAACCTCATCAAAAGGCTATGCCAAAACTGGGAAACTGCTTGAAAATAGCTAAGTCTGGTAACGTGTTTGTCAAGCCTACTTTGGAGCTCAATTTGAGAAGCATGGATGCGAGTCAAGTCCAGGGGCCTCTACCACTTTAAATTACGTATTTTATTATACAAAGGAAAGGCATTGGATGAAAGATTGAATATCTTTAAGGCTTCAAACAAAAGGGTCAAAGTTGCTACGAAGGCTGTTTTTCTGGCAGACTTCGAGCACAAGCAAGCTGCCAGAAAAACAGCCTTTGTAGCAACTTCGAGCCTTTTGTTTCACAAAGTAACAAGTACTTGATTTTGGTTCATAAGGCTGCTTTTTGATTCGTTGCATCATTCATGCCTCTTTCCTACTAAAATTCACTATTTTTATCACGTGTTTCCAAAAAAAAAAAAACTATATAACAATAAGCAAGACACCCCATTACATTATCAAATTTCATACCTCACCTTCCTTCGGCCAAATGGCCGGGACCATGCTAGTACAATATAATAGTCAAACCTTTTTATTCTAAACAAATAATAACCAAACCTTTTTAAATACAATTTAATAGCCAAAACGTTAACTTTTCATCAGGTCAACCGTTAGTAACGGTTGACCATGATGTGTCAATACAAGATGATATGGTTAAAAGTCAATAGTTTGACTGTGACATATATATATATATATATATATATATATATATATATATATATTAATTTTAACTAAATAACAACATTAAGAAAAAACCCTACTCCACAATCCCCCATTCTTCCCTACGACATCTTCCTCCTCTCCACTCTCCTCTACGACATCTTCCTCAAAACCTTCTCCTCCGACGTTTCCCTAGCTGTCGCCTCCGCTGACCTCCGAAACGTCGCCGCCGCTGACTTTCGAAATGACGCAGTCGCTATCTCCTCGCCGCTGCTGACCTCCTTGAATTCCGTATCTAAAACCCCTTGGTGGTTCTGGAAGGTGTAAACTCACTGCCGGGACAAATACGTATCATATAATATAAATATATATATATTAATATAAACTACCTAACCAACTAAAGAAAGGAAAAAGGATTCAAAGGACAAATATCCTTTTATTCTTCTCGGCCCGGGAACCAACTGTGAGTCTCAAAGTGGGCCAAGGCCCAAGTGAGGGTTTGGTTCGGGAATTATTTTAAAGGCAACAAAGCCTCGTTTAGCAGATGGGAAGAGCGAACAGAGAAGTACTCTGTTTCCGAGAGCTATGAACAGAGACGAGGAACAGAAGCCAAAAGCAGAAAAATGAAAGTGCAAAAACGTAAAAGAACACGGGGAATTTAACGTGGTTCGGCCAAGGATGGCTTTACTCCACGTCCTAGAAGCAGCACTGCTGATTCTAGGAGACTCTGTTTTTATTGATTTTATTTTGCTCAAAGAACTAAGAAGAAGAAGAAAGAAAGAAAGAAAGAAAGATGATGATGATGATTTCCCAGGACCCAATCCCAGATCCTGTACAACCTCAATTAATCAGAACCTCTACCTCTGATTATTGAGCCCTTTTGTAAACCAAAGCCATCTACCGCTTTTCACTACAAAAGTTACTCTCCGAAATTACAAGGAGAACACATATATATAAGTGAAGTTCTGGTCGTTCCAGCTCCTTGGTGAAAAGGAAAGTATTTGAAAAAACAATCCCGATTGCCAATCAAATCGCCCAACAATCTCGAACATATCCTTTTTTCGGCTCAAGATAGAGTGTATAACCATGGGTTATGCATTCATAATTAACCAAATCTGAACCATTCATTTAGAAAATCCAGATCTAAGGATAGAGAATTAAAGATCATTTTTAATTTCTTAAGTTTTCTTAATCAGCTCATATCTTTTTCGTTTTAACTCGGATTTTATTTTTTTTTGCACAGGTGGAACGAGTTCATCGTGCTCTACAAAATGAGATCAATTTTCAATATTTTTTTAGAACAAAAAATTCTGGCCTCTCGGTACCAACTGCATACCATATGATATTTTCTTCATTTTTAATTCGTTTTTGAAAACGTTTGCACAGAAGGGACGAGTTCATCATGATCTATTGGATCTACAAATTTCTGGGTGAACAAATTACAGGACCAAAAAATATCACACAATACCATACAATACCACCCTGGTATGGGGTGGTATTGTATGGTATCTTCTTCGTTTTTAATTCGTTTTTGAAAACGTTTGCACTGAAGGGACGAGTTCATCATGATCTATTGGATCTACAAATTTATGGATGAACAAATTACAGGACCAAAAAATACCACATAATACCATACAATACCACCCTGGTACGGGGTGGTATCTTGTGGTATACAATGTTAAAAGTCGTAAATGACAATTAATATATTTCTACTATCATGTATTCAACCATCCTACAGTCTTGGTTTGTTCATACCACCATGGTACTTTTTCAAACCATAGGTATGCTTTTATTTCAATACTAGTCAATACCATATGGTATAGACTGGTAAAAAATGGCTCAATTTTTTTTGTTCCAAAAATATATTAAAGTGGATATCATTTTGAAGAGCATAATTAATCTGATCTAACTGTGTAAAAAAAATTAAATTTTGACTTAAAATGAGTGAGAAATCGTCCGTCAAAGATTAAAGAGGGAAAAATTAAAGGCTTTCCAGGAGAGAGAGGATGTTGATGTCATGCTGACGTGGACGGGTTACTCATGGTTACTTACCACAAGGTTACTCACCAGATCTGCTCCCCCTTTTCCCTTACTAGTAGAGATTGATGGTTAATTCTGATTTCCTCTTAATTCACCCAACAATCTCCCCCTAAATCAGAGATTGCGAATTGATAATTACCTGCACACAAGAGCATACGCCTTTCCAAACAGTGCATAAAATAAAGGGACCACTGCAACATGCAATACTGATTATCTGAAGTAAACTTAACCAAAACACAAGAGCACTAGTTTTGGGCTCCCCTTAGATCAAGCATTTCTCCTACCGTAACTAGTACAATAAGAGCGTTTACTTAGAGACTTGGTAGTAGACAACTAGAATAGTAGCAAAGCAAGAGATGCAGAAGCAAACTATTATCATCAAGAAAATATATATAATCTCCCCCTCAATTTGCAACCTCTTGAAAAAAAAAAAACACAGGAGGTAAGAATAACTATGTAAGACTAGCAAAAGAGCACAATATGCCTACTCGAACACACTTAACAAGGGAACACTTTGCTGCAAAAAAAAAAAATGCAGAAATAAAAAAGTAAGAGAAGGTGTTGCAACCATAATTAAGACCAAGACAGCAACCATGCAAAAGCCTCTTTCTATAGCATAAATTATAACTAACCAAACGACCATCAAGATTCAAAGAGAACCAAATCACCACACTCATAATATGAACAAGGAACATATAGAACTGATCCGTATCAAAATTCAAACACATGGACGGAGCACTACCAAGCAAGCCTAGGCTTCCAAGATCTCCCATAACCCGAAAGATCAACCATTAGTACTCTTCTGAACCCAAACTTGTTTAAGTGAGGGTTTTTTATACCAATGGGGAGTGTAAGGCTGCCACCAAGAATTTCTAGTGTGATGACCATGTTTTTGACAAACAGAGCATCTAACTGATTTGCAGTAACTGTTTGTGGGATGGCATTTGTAACGCTTACCTTTATGCGGTTGATTTTTAATATAGTAAGTACGACAAGCTGCTGGATAATCATAAGGATAACAAACATGATCATTTCTATGTTTCGGTAGATTGTAAAGGTGATTAATGCCCAATCTAACTAATTTATTTTCTCTGTATAACTCATCCATTTTAATGTTATTTGAAGTTATGACCTGATGGAGCTTAACTATCTCA